AAAAATATCATTGAAAATATGAATGAATTTTATAGTAACAAGCAAAATAATGCTGCAAATCTGTTGCCTAAAAAGGTTTTTCAAATCAGATGAAAAAAGACAAATACAATTGTTAATGATTGGAAATAGACCTACGTACAAGATATTATATAGAATCTCTGAAAGAAGTTCAATATTATTCATCGATTTATCATTACATTTCAGTTAATTAACAATATATTCATGTTCTAATTTAAAAAAAATAATTTCTTCTAAAATCTATTCAAAATAATATAATTTTATTTTCTCTTACTTTCAATTGATTATTCGACATAATAAGTACTTCTAAATTTTGTAAACTTTTTATATCTTCTGGTATAATAGTTAATTGATTAGTTGCTAGATTAAGTTCTACTAATGCTGTCCAAGAACCAATATCTATAATGAAATAATTAACAGAAAAAAAAAAATTTTTTCTATGTAAAAAATAAATTCTTTTCTACCTAATGGTAATGATGTTAATGCATTTTCTCGCATATTTAATTTTGATAAATATTTTGCAAGTGAAAAAATTGAAAATGGAATTTTATCAATTGTATTACATTCCATATTAATTGAATGTACAGATGTAAATTGTGTTGGACCACCCAATGGAAATGAATTAAAATTATTTCGTGCTAATGATATTGTATTTAAATGTACTAAACTTGATAGAAGTCCTTCCTTTAAAATTACGAAAAATTGAATAAAATAGCAAAAAAAAGAAAAAAATTCACAAACCGGTAATTGTGAAACATTATTTCCTTCAATATTAAATTCATCAAGTTTAGAACAATTTGCTAATGATGATGGAATGGTCGAGAGACGATTGTATCTGATCAACAGTCGACTAAGATTTTTAAGATTACCTATTAATTCTGGTAGATCAACAAGTTCATTATGTGTTAAATCTAATGTTGTTAACTGAGCACAATTTCCTAAAATAAAAAAACAAAAAAAAATCGTTTTGTGTATTTTCTTTTTAATGATTCATAAAGAATACATTTCTCAGCATTTTGCATATTTCTGTTGTTTTATCAAGATTTTTGCATTAAATTTTGTCAGCCTTTCTTTGCTTCAATCCTTTGATGTTCGTGTGTGTATTTTTACTCTCATCAAAAGAGAAAGATGATCATATGCATACAAATTTCGAGAGTATTGTGTCAATTTCTATCATAGTTAAGACTTTGATCTGTCTGAAGATTGCATTAGAACAACTTTTTGACTGATAATTGATTGAAGTCTTGTATGATTAAGAAGAAGAAGTCTGACAAAATCACTTACAAAGTCTAATGATGAAAAAAAAAAGAAAGGAAGCATGCTATTCCGTTATGTTGAAGTGCTGATGAAAAATATGCAAAATACTGACAAATCTATTCTTTATAGGTCATCCGCTGTTATAAATCAAAAAACAAACCTATTTCATTTGGTAAATGTTCAAGATGATTATGTGCAACATCAAGTGTTAATAATTGTATAAGATGACCAACTGTAATAGGTAATGAACGAATACGATTTTCACGTAAACTTAACATTTGTAAATTCTAATAAAAAAAAAAAAAAAAGAAATTTTTTTGCAACAATAAAAAAAGGAAAATTATTTTTTTGTTTTACTTACAACTAAATTTCGGATTGAATCTGATACTTCTTTAATACGATTAAAACGTAAATAAAGTGTTGTTAAACTAGTTATTCGATAGATAACTTCTGGTATCTAAAAAAACAAGATTTTTTTATAAATTTTCTTTTGTTTTCAAAAAAAAAACAAAAAATTTCTACTTTACATCATTAAATCTATTATGTCGTAAATCAAGTACTTTTAATTGAACAAGACGATCCATTGTATCAGGTAAAGTTGTTAATGAATTTTCACTTAAAGCTAATACTTTTAAATTAACTAAATTACCAATTTCAGGTGGTAATTGTTGAATACGATTACTATATAAATATAATTCTCGGACATGTGTTAACTATAACAAAAACAAAAAAAACAACAACTAAA